CCGGCGCCACGCCCTCCACAGGCCAAGGGCCAGTCACCCGCGGGCGGGCGTCTCGCAGCTCCCTCGCCGCCCCGCCCCGCCCGGCCCCGCCGCGGGACGGGTAACGGTTACCAAGCACTTTCTCAGCCGCGATTTCTGCTTAGTCATTGTCTTCCAGGAAACGGTCCCTTCAGTTGGGAGTCAACTCTCCGGCGGCGGCCGCAGTAGCAGCAGCAGCCGCCGCGGCCAGCGCGTCCTTCCCGGGCCGCAGCTCCGTCAGTCCGGCCTCCCGAGGTCACGAGCGCAGGCCGAGGTCCCGCCGCGTGGGGCGGCCAGCCTCGCGCTCGGCTCTCCGGCCTCGGGCACCGCGTCCTGCAGGGCGGCCTCCCTTCTCGCCTGCGGCCCCGTCGCCGCCTGGCCCCCCTCCCTCGGCCGCTGCCATGGGCACCGACAGCCGCGCGGCCGGGGCGCTGCTGGCACGGGCCCGCACCCTGCACCTGCAGACCGGGAACCTGCTGAACTGGGGTCGCCTGCGGAAGAAGTGCCCGTCCACGCACAGCGAGGAGGTGAGAGACGCGGGGCTCCCGGGGCAGGCCGCGGGGCCGGGAGGCTCCCAAAGGGAAGCAGCGCCCGGAGGGACGGGCGGGCGGGCTCGGGGCGCCGGGTGAGGCGCGCACCTGGGCTCCGCCGGCGCGGGAAGGCTGGGGCCGCTGGGGTTGCGACGTCGCCTCCAAACCTGCAGCTGCGGGCCGCGCGCCTTCAAACACTTGGCAGGTGCAGCTTCATCCCGAGGGACGCCTCCGTCAGTGCTCCCGGCCGACAGCCGACCTCTCGAACGCACTGGACCCCTCTTCGTTGCGGGGGCCAGGGGGGTGCAGAGAAGACCAGCACCTCCCTCCCAGCCTCCCCCAGCCTCTGGCCCCCCTTCCCCCCACGCCGCGGCCAGGTGAAGACATAGTTTAATAAGAGATTCGCTTTTCCAGGGTTCAGGTGAAGGTAGTAGTAATAATAATTCACTTAGCTCTGAGGCTGTTGACAGTAGGTTCTCTGTTGCTGTGAGGCGCAGGACTCCACGCTCGAATTCGGCTTTGGAATAAGGTATGCGTTCTTCTTGCTGAAGATTAATCTGCCTCAGTGTATTGCCTGAAGACTGATCACTAGTTTGAGGTGGCAGAGATTAATCTGGAATTATCCATGTGATACATACTCGGTCCTCAGCTGGTCATTCCTGAGTGGAGAGTCAGGGTGCCCAGGAAATTGCGGAGGCATATAGGCGGTGTAAGACGGTTTGGGTGCTGAAAAATAACAGTGAGTAAAAACAAACCTTTAATTTAGGAGCCGTGTGGGGCGCCTGGGTGGCTCAGTTGGTTAAGCGACTGCCTTCAGCTCAGGTCATGATCCCAGGGTCCTGGGATCGAGTCCCACATCGGGCTCCCTGCTCT